ATCATTTTCTAGTAAAAGTTATTAATAATATAGTTAAAGATTTGTGAATAAATCAGGTAAATTTTACTTAACTTGATCAAGTGTATGTTACAAGATTTAACTGAGCAAATTAAGTAAAATTTACCTGATTTATTCACAAATCTTTAACTATATTCTTAATAACTTTTACTAGGTAACGATGAGTAAATATTACATGAATTTGTAGCATTTAAATTTACTTAACCAACATTAGTGTGAATTTGTTTGAGGATTTTTTCCAAGTACATCTTACAAGTTATTTTTTTCAGTGTAGGCTGCCAATTACAGTGCCCGGGGAACAGCTGAGGTGTTAAGGGCCTTGCTGAAGGACCCAAAATGGGGCTGGTTGGTTTGGGGAGTTGAACCGACAACCTTCCGATCACAGACTCACTAATCACTAATCACTCATACAAATAATATGTAACTGAAAATAAGTTTTGAAAATTATCCTATTTTTGAATGTTTTTTTTTTCTTTTTTAACAAGCCATACTAGCTATATAAAACAAGAATAGTCAAACTGATGCTGGTTACATAACATCGCTAATAAAATTCACTTGAATCAATGTAACATGTCGATCAATCAGTGTTAACAGGGTGGAATTCTAGAATCTGATTCATCTCCATCAGATCATTTAATCCTTTCAGGGTAATATCAGTACTGTGTGTATACTGCATATACACACAATACATAATGTTGCATATGTTAGGTTAGTCGACACACTGACATTTCATGCCAAATACTGACCAAGAGTATTTGAGACTGCTGTCTCAAAACTGAGCATCTATTGCCAGATTATCTTGGTGGCAAACAACACTACAACCACTTCAAATAAATAAAGTTTCAACGCTGCAATAAATTCTAATTACCTGCCACCTGTTAGGCAAATGGATTGAACTTATAGGACTTTATCAAGTCCCTACGGACTACACTTCAATCATTCACCCATTCACACACTGATGGTAAGCTTGAGCAGAGATTCTTAACCTATGGGCCGCGGCACAGTGCCCCCTTGAGGGCCTCAAAAGAACAACAGTTTTTAACTTTGGGCCGCAGAGGGCCACGGGAACACATTGATTTTGAATAAGGTGCAATACACTTTCTCACCACTAGTAGCAGTAGTGCACCACTCAGATGTTTAACAACTTTTTAATATGTAGAAGAACAACCTTAGAAACCTGCCGAAAATCGAAACTTATTTTAAAGGCACAGTGTGTAGGATTTTGTCAAGTCTTTTAGCTGAAATTGAGATAATCACTAATGACAATAATAAAAAACATGTCTAATCATTGCAGACAAAGACCTTGTCTTATTATTTTTACCTTATAAAAAGCTGTTTATATCTCCATGGTCGCAGGTCACCACTACAGAAAGCCGCCATCTTGTCTACGAAGGCTCATGA